GTGTGTATGTGTATACATGGAAACCCTGGTGGTGTAGTGGTTAAGAGCTATGGCTGCTAACCAAAAGGTTGACAGTTCGAATCCACCAGGCGCTCCTTGGAAACCCCATGGGGCAGTTCTACTCTGTGCTGTTGGGTTGCTATGAGTTGGAATCGACTCGACGGCAACGGGTTTTTTTTTTTTTTAATATATATTCCCCCTCTACTGGAGTTAAATCACCAAATCCATGGCACTAACTTTGCACAAATCACTTACCTTCTCTAAGACTTAGTTTTCTTCCTCATAATGAGGATGAATTAGATGACCTCTTAGTATTTATACCGTCAGATGTGAGCTCATTTGGCTTTTACAATCCAGATTTAAGTAAGCACGGTGAGGAAAGTATAAGATTCATCCTTGTCCTCAAGGATTTAAAAAACTGGGTGGGGAGGCAAAAATACCATGTAGTGAGAAATGCTATAATACAGAGTCAAATACTAACTGGTGAAGCACAGGCTACTGGTGGAAGCCCCAGATAGAAGTGTGGTGGCAAGGAAAAGCTAGAGGAGTTTGGGAAGATTTCACACACAAAGACAGACTTCAGCTGTACTTTGTGAGAGAGTGGGATTTGATGCATGGTGAAAGGCATTAAATCTATGTCATATCGTCTCTTGAGGATGAACTCTTATTGAGCCTAATGAAAGAATTCCCACATGTACATATTTGGAATATTAGAACGGTGGTGGTGGTGGGAAATACGAGTTAAAAAAATCACTCTGGAGAAAGAAAGAATCTACTTCATTTCCTCATATAAATGTTTTGTTAGCAATCTCATCAAATGCCTTCATAAATCATGATAGCTAACTCATACACCATTAGTCTTCCTACACCTAAAAACAAACAATTGCCATTGATAATAAGTTAACAGCTGATATGAAATATTTTTCGGGTAAGATATGAGTTTAGAGGTTGAAAACCAGGCTTACAAACTGCAGAAGGCTTTCAGCAACAGACGCATTCAAATTCAGTTGAAAAAGAAACTGGAAGGGGAAAGAGACCAAGTCTGCAAACATCAAGCTTGTACTCAAAGGTTGGATCCATTTAATACTCAAGTGGTGCTTATTATCACCACACTAAACAAATTCTCATTGGAGTTCATTTTGTAAGGCAGGCATTAAATGAGTTTAGGGACTGTTGGGTAAAAGATGGATGAACCATACATAATGCTTATTTAAAAGGGCAGAGCAAAAATTCAAAGACTGTGGATGAAAAGAAAATAAATTTTGGAAAGCAGGTAAATCAAGTTAATTCATTACTATAAAATGCAAGAGTGTGCCTTTCAAGACTCAATTTGCATATATCTCCAGTTATTTTATAAAAAGTTGTGGGGTCAGATAACCTCTCATAGAGATAATTTATAAGCAGGTTGCTGATCAGATCGCCACACAAACTTCAGAAAGGGGCAAAGCACCTCTTCAAAAGAGAATCCGTCCCTGCATGAACTGTAACCTTAAAAACCGTAACAGTTACTTTGCAAAGACTCCTCAACAAGAAGAGTTTTGGGTAACTTACAGATTTTATTTAAAAATGGTAGTTGGAGAGTGAAATTCATCAGTGTATCAGTGATTCTCATGCATTACCTGACTGGCCAAAGAAAAGAATTCACAGCAACTTGGCAGGTATACTTCCTGTAGCAGAGATGGAAATGTTTGATCATATTTTCCTTCAGCTCAGTTAATTTCTTCATGCTAACTCTGTTGTTAGCTGCCATGGAGTCAGCTCCCACCTCATGGCAATCCCGTGTAAGAGGAAACAAAATGCTGCCCGGTGCTGCGTCATCCCTATACTTGCTTGTGGATTAGACATTCCACTACAATCTACAGGTTTTCATTGGTTGATTTTTGGAAGTAGATCACTAAGCCTTTCTCCTTAGTTTGTCTTAGTCTGGACATTCCGCGGAGATCTGTTCAACATCATAGCAACTGACAGATAGGTGGTGGCTGTGCATGAGGTACATCAGTTAAGAACTGAATCAGGGTCTCCCATGGTAGGAGAGAATTCTACTTACTGACCCACCAATGTCTCATACCCTAACTCTACATTCATGTAAGAACCTTCTGATACTGACTTAATTTCCTAGTAGAAAAATAATACATTGAAAAACCGATAACAAATATTGTGGTTACTTAGAAGTTATATTTCTCAGTGTAAATTGATAAACTGGCCTCTGGTTCTTAAATACGTCTTTTATGCGTTTGGTTAATGTTAATCTGTCCTCAGAACTGACTGCTCGGGGTGAACTGAAAAATCAGCGTTTTTAAACCTGCAAAGGTGAGGATCCCAGTTACTCTAGATCCATTAAATTATAGGCAGGCACTTCACAGAATTTTAAAGTTAGCATTAAAAATTATATTAAGTAAAACTTAATTCGTTTCATAAAATTTATTTATATGGACACAAATATTTTGAGCAATTGTATACAAGGAGAATCCTAATATATTAATTGTTTGTGTTAACAATTCCACTGTCATCTATAACCATTTTTTGAACTGTTTTTCCTAGTTTCTCATAATGAGTATTTACAGTACAAAAGGTATAATTCATGAAAAAATTATATAAGGGACTTTAAGTAATTTGTTATTAGTAATTCCCTAGTCAAAGACTTTAGGTTATATCATGAGCATTTATCAAATGCATACATCATACGCATTACAGATGTGAAGAGGAAGATAATGTAAAGGCAACACAAAGGTTGTAGATTTCAAACTGTTTAGATATTTTGCAAAATCATTAGGAATTATTGCATTTAAGAGCATGAAAAACAGTGATTTTATATGTCTTTACTACAGTCAACTTATGATTTTTCCCATTTTGACATTAGCTCTTTATAATCAGTTTTCTAAATTTCTAGCTATAATCATGTAAATATTAACAGTATATTGCTCCCCAACACAAATTCTTTACAATGGATCACATGCACAGTCTGATGCCTGCTTCTCTCGTTAGTCCCATCTCCCACTTTCCCCTTTGTGCGGTTCACTCTAGTTTCTTTCTGTTCCCTGTCACGTACACTTCATTCCCATCCCTAGAGCCAGTTTCCTGAGTACACACTCCATGCAGCTGCACAGGCCCCACACTCCAAAAGGACCTGGGCTTGGTTTAATTTCCTGCTGTCGCTGTCCTGAAATTTTTAGTAAATTTTGTACAAAGGGCATTTGCACTGGGCTCCGCAAATTATGTAGCCAGTACTGTCTACTGCATGCCCCTTGTACGATATTCTCGTTTCTTCCTGTGCCCCAACTGTACCAATCTCTTTGCTCCCTCTTGACCACCGTGCATGCTGTTTCTTCTCTCTGAATACTCTTCCGCTAGTTCTTTGCACAGCTTTCTCATCCTTCATTCTCAACCTATATGCTAACTTTCAGACAGACCTTCTCTGATTTCTTTATCTAAAACACCTCCTCTAATCATTCTTCCTCATTATCCATTTATTTCTTTAGAGGCACTGATTACAATCTGTAATGATCTCATTTATTTGTTTTCTTGTTCCTTGTTACACATCCCCTTCTTCTACGTGGCAAGTAGCACTAGAGTCAGCAATCTTGTCTTATCTTGGTAGAACACTGATGATTTCTCAGAGCTGAAGACAGTGTCAGGCCCATGGCAAGTATACAGTATTTATTTATTGAGTGAATAAATAAGTTAATAATGGTAATAAATGATGCGTCACAAATTATCTTGGGGAGATTTTGTTTTTCCTGTTAAAATTATTATACACTATGGGTATTTTATCTACTATTACTCAGCAACATTTTCTAGAGATTTCCTCTCTATATATAGGATAGCTATTTATTTAAGATACCTAAGAATGTGAGATTTATATGCATATATTTTATAAGTATTGCTGCCTTTCTGTGAATTTATGATCCAAAAAGTAACTCAATTCCCTAAACTCAAGAAAATGTACAGCTCTATCAATAAATTTTGGTTCACTATTTGAAAGGAAAACTAAAGAATAGCTGTTCACAGAAAATGAGAATAATTTCAGAAAGAAAAAAAAGCTTTACATCAAAGGAACAACAGGAACCAGTATCCAATGCTAGTGAGGCTGTAGTAATAATTGGGATATTAACAAACTGTGATAATAAAGTGGTCTACTACTCTTTAAGAAAACAACTCGGCATGAAGTATTTTGGCTGTAAAAATACACATATTCACTGACCCAGGTCATCCACTTCTAGTCCTTTACCCTATGGAAATATAATTTATATAATATATGGAAAGAGCTATATCCATAAATATATTTATAAGAGTGTTACTTATAAGATCAGAAAATTGAAAGTAAACTAAATGTCCAAATTTAAGGGAATGGTAAGGTAAATTATAATAATGCACTCAAGTAAATATTTTGTAACTAGGAAAAATTATACTGTGTGACAACATGGGGGAACACTTATGAAATCAAATGTTTAGTGAAAAAAGTAGGATCAAAATTACATAAGTAGAAAAATAAATAAAATTTTAACAAAATCTGACCCATGGAAGACTGGAAGATAGTTTATTCAATAATTTGATTTATGGATGATATTTTTAATTTCTCCATTTTTCACATTTTTGTTAATGTGAATATAACATTTAATTATGAAAACATATTTTAAATATGTCTAAAATAAGTGATTTCCCATCAAATAGCATCATTTTCAAAGTAGGTCAGTGTACTCTTAAAAGTGTTTGCTTTTAAGAGCTACATTTAAAATAAAAATGTGAATGAAATTTTAATAAACTAATTTTTCTGAAAAAAGCAGAATTATTCTGTGAAGGTATGACAATTCAGTATAGATGTATTTACTTAAAAGAAAATAAAACAATAATCAAAGTGTAGTTGGTAAGTCGAAAGTGACTTTTTTCTTCCAAAAAAAGTTAACTCAAAACAAACTGAATAAAATTTTAGACACTAGTTAGTTCAAAAGCAATGCATTAAAAAACAAAGCAAACAAACAAAACAGTAGCTCAGTACTCACAGGTATACAATATTCCACCATTGGGTAATGCAACTTGTGACCTTTTGCTGTTCGACCAGAAAAAAAGCAACTCTGGCAGACATCATAGTTAAAATGCTTTAGGCTTCTATATCTAGAAAGAAAAAAGGAAAATTCATTGGCTTGCATGCCTATTATGTAGTCCAAATCAATCATTTGTGGTAAGAATTTCATTCATCCAAATCACCATGGAAATAAAAGAATTCTTATAAATTTGAGATTTACTTAAACTTGGTCTTTGTTCCAAATTAGAACGAAAGAATCCTGAATTTCACAAGCGAAACGAATGAAATCACTAACCAAGTGAGAAAAAAAATTAAATTCAAGTTTCTAAAACATGTTTCCATATGTTTAAACATGACTGGAAGACAAAGATCCACGTCCAAAGAATTTCTGTAATATTTGAACGTGAATGCAAAATGGCAGAGAAGAGAGTTGTATTCATTATCTTGAGACATCAAATTTTAAAATATCAATTATACCACCACCAACAAATGAATCTCAAAATTTCCTCAACGACATTATTTATTTACAAAGGCATTTATATATTTAGTTTAAACTAACCATCAGGAATAAATATTAAAAACCATGAAATACCCAGGAATGAAGAAACAAACTAAATAAAACTTTGATCACAGTGCATTCTTGAATGGAAACAGTGTTTTTTAACTCTCTCACATAAGAATGACACTGTACATCAGCTTTCATTTGCAGAATCTTATCTGGGGAAGAAAGCTCTAGATACTAAGTTTCTATGGGTTTACATGGAAACTATCTCCTCTCAAACTGTCCATTCCGCCTGAATGGCTGGTAGTAACTAAGAACATAAATATAACTGTCCAAAAAAAACCAAACCCATTGCCATGGAGTCGATTCTGACTCACAGCGACACTATAGGACAGAGTAGAACTGCCCCTTAGGGTTTCCAAGGCTGTAAATCTTTACGGAAGCAGACTGCTACATCTTCCTCCCGTGGAGTAGCTAGTGGGTTCAAACCACCGACCGTTCAGTTAGCAGTCGAGTGCTTTCACCACCGTGCTACCAGGGCTCCTAAATATAGCCATACCTACAGAAAAATATTTGAAAGAAGATGAACAAAATGAAAGTAGAAACAAAATTTAAGGTTAGATGAGGTCAATATTGTAAACTATTAAGCGCTGAGTAGCTTCTAAAATGACCTGCCAGATCACTTGTTAATTGTTCTGGAGAAAATCAATCCATGTATACCACAGCCATCTTACTTTGTCAGGGAAGCTTCCTGGTTTGAAACAATCACATACACTAACAATATTCTTTGACCTATCAGCATGACTTGACACATATGACTGACATCTTCTCTTTTAAAGTGGAGTTTTGTTTATTGCAGAATATTTCTGTGGCAGATAGCCATTCTCCTTTTCTCCATTAGTAACAGACTTTGTGCTGTTAGTGGGCAACGTGCCGTGCTAAAATGCTGTTTCTTAGTCCTTCTTGCCCAGAGTCGTAACTAGTGCAATACAAGTTGAATTTACTGGGGAGGTTTCTAGTTGGGGTGTCATGGGGCTGAGTCAGTTGGGAGAGGCACTCTCCCTTGTCCTCCTTCCTGGAAATGGACCTGACCTTCATCTGGTTAGCATGAGGTGATGATAATGGAAGCCACACATTAGGAATGGCAGAGTAGAAAGAAAGATAGAGCTTGGGGTCCAGATGAGCATAGAGCCACCATACCAGCCCTGAATTGCTGACCTCTGGACTTGGGTTACATATAAAGGAAAATAAACCTCTAGCTTATCTATTCTACTAGAAGCAGCTGTATGAGATCCTAACTGAAACCATTCCCAGCTTACAAAACATACTGTAAATCTAAGATTTCATTTGGAAGTAATTAGAGAGAAACTCTAACAGTATTTATAAAAGTTCAGAGAAAATGAATATATATTTAAAGTGGCAGCTTTCTACAGAACAGCCTGGATGAAGTCAAGGTTTTTCTACTGCTCATAACCCCTCTATCTTTATTTCTGTATTTGGCTTTTGATTCTTCCTTGTAGCCTCAGAGAAAGAGATACCCCTTGACCTAAGAGCTAATCAGACCTACCTATTCTACCTTGTTCAGGTTTACAACTTCTGTTATTTTCACTTAATGGAACAGTTCAATAACACTGATCTGCTTAGCTACTATCCCAATAATGATGTTATAGCGACCCTATGTACCACAGAATGAAACACTGCCCAGTCCGTCGCCATCCTCACAACCCTTGTTATGCTTAAGCCCATTGTTGTAGCCACTGTGTTAATCCATCTCATTGAGGGTCTTCCTCTTTTTCACTGACCCTCTACTTTACCAAGCATGAAGTCCTTCTCCAGGGACTGGTACCTCCTGATAGCATGTCCAAAGTATGTGAGATGTAGTCTCAGCATCCTTGTTTCTAAGGAGCATTGTGGTCGCACTTCTGCAAAGACAGATTTGTGAGTTCTTTTGGCACTCCATGGTATATTCAATATTCTTCCTCAACACCACAATTCAAAGGCGTCAATTCTTCTTGGGTCTTCCTTATTTATCGTCCAGCTTTCCCACGCATACGAGGCAAATGAAAACACCATGGCTTGGGTCAGGCACACCTTAGCCTTCAAAGTGACATCTTTGCTTTTCAACACTTTAAAGAGGTCTTTTGCAGCAGATTCGCCCAATGCAATGTGTTGTTTGATTTCCTGACTGCTGCTTTCATGGGTGTTCATTGTGGATCCAGGTAAAATGATGTTATCAGTAATCATAAAAACACCTTAGATGTATTGAATGACTCTACTCTGCTTGTAGAGGATACTGGTGGCTCAGTGGCAGAATTCTCACTTTCCTTGCGGGAGACCTGAGGTCAGTTCCTAGCCAATGTCCCTCCCGTGCAGCCACAACCCACCTGTAAGTGGAGGCATGAGTGTTGCTATGATTCCAGACAAGTTTTAGCGAACTTCCAGACTAACATGGACTAGGAAGAAAGGTTTGGTGACCTACTTCCAAAAATGAGCCAAGGAAACCCTATGGATCACAACATCAGACCACAGCTGATCATGGATATGGCACAGTACCAGGCAGCATTTATTCCATTGTGCATGGGGTTGCCCTCAGTAAGGGGCAGACTCAATGGCAGCTTACAACAACCCTGTCTGAGGTAGGAACTGTCCTGGGCATTTTTCATCTCTCACTTAATCCTATGAGAAGACACTCATAGGCTTTTAAGACGAAGAAACTCAGGTTCAAGAAGGCCAACTACCTTATCCAAAGTTATGCAGCCAAATAGTAGATCTAGGATTCAAACTCAAGCAGCCTGAACTACAGAGCTAGTTTTCACAGAAACTAGACTTCATTGCCTCCCATATATCATGCTGGAAGCTTGATCTCTGACCACCTATCCAGCCTCGTATCTTTATCTTGGAGACATCTATATGTGAGTATTAACACTTAACGTTGTTTACCTATTATAACTGCTTTTTCATATTTCTCTTATGAAACATTTCAAGTTTATGCAAAAGTAGAGAATAATACAATGAACATCCATGTTTTCACAACCTAACTTTATTAAATCTTACTATTTTGCTAGCACTGCTTCAAATAAATATTTTAAGAAATAAAGCTTTAAAGATGCAACCAAATGCTAAGAGTATTTTTTACCTGTTTTTTGCTCTCCATGTACACAGCCCTCTGGGCCCTTACTGCATCTCTGCGCTACAGCACTGGTCACATAAGACTGGCTTGTATAAATCAGTCTCTTCCCAAGTCAATTAATCTGAAATTTCTGTGGTTTCACATTACATTTTACACACTGTAATATACCTAGTCTAATAATCAATATCCTAAATCAATTGTTCTGTTTAGCATCATCCAATTGTTTCCTAATATCAAATCTAATCTGCCTTTTTTTTTTTTAATACCATATTTGACTCCAGAGTCAAAAAGATCTGGATTTTGAATCCCAACTTTACCTCCAGTTATTAGATATAAGGCCTTGAGCCTAATCTGAGTCTTAGTACCTTCACGATTAAAGTAGAGATAATACTACCAGTCCTAGAAGGTTTATATGAAGAGTAAATGAAATAATAAATGCAACACGTTTAGCACAGGGCCTGGCATACCGTAAGCATTCTACAAATGGCAGTTATTATTAGCTCTGATGATTATATCTCTCATTTGGATTATCTTCACACCAGTATTTTGAGATTGCCACATTCTACTATTTCCTCTGCTCTCTGTCTACATATGTCTAGCAGGAGCCCTGGTGCCACCGTGGTTAAGAACTAGGCTGTTAACTGAAAGTCAGCAGTTCAAATCCACCAGCTGCTCCTTGGAAATCCTATGGGGCCGTTCTACTTTGTCCTACAGGGTCGCTATGAGTCGGAATCGACTCGACGACAACGTGTTTGTTTTTTTTTATGTCTGTGTATGTCTAGCAGGTTCTTAAAATTTAGCCATTCCAAGAAGCATGCTCTATTGAACATTGTGTCTTTCTTGTCTTCCTTTTCCCAATGTTTGTGCTTTGACTTCCACTGTGGCATCTGTTACCTTGGCTGTCATGCTCATGCCGACCCTGCTTCACCTTGATAACTACCTGCCTTTCCATCCTCTTAGAACTAACAGCCATATTGATACCAAGACGCTCTGAATTTACAACACTTTAGATTGTCTTCCCGGCCATACTGTAACTTATAGAAGAACAGGAAATCTGAGTTCTATTTCTTGAGTTAGCCATCTACAGAGACTGCAGTGGTGCTCTCCATACAAATTATGCTGATAAAGCCAAGTCAAATTAAAGAAATTTTGTTTAATTCAAGAAACTGGGTCTATATACAACAACAATCCCAGCTGTACTGATGTGACTCTTCCTCACCATCTTAGCTGACTTCTCTTCTGGCATGAATGAAAAGGTACACATGAAAATTTTGAGTTCCCTGCTCAGTAGGCTTATATTCCTTCACAATAAACCAAAAAAAACAAATCAGCTGCCATCACGTCAATTCCAACTCATGGCAACCCCATATGTGTGAGAGTAGAACTGTGTTCCATAGGGCTTTCAATAGCTGATGTTTCAGAAGTAGATTGCCAGGCCTTTCTTCCAAGGTGCCTCTGGGTGGACTTGAACCTCTAACCTTTTGGTTAGCAATTTAGCACATTAATCATTTGTACTACCCAGGGACTCCTACTTCATAACAGATTTCCTAATTAAACTGGAGGTATTTACCAGATTCTTCCCAGAAGAAAAACAGAATACTCTAAGAGGTCTAACGCATACTCAATGAAAGAGAGTAAGGTGGAAGGATCATGATAGGCAAGAAGCTTCAGCTTGGGACAAACCACAGACCCTGCAGACAGGATGCTCTGGGGTCACAAAATGATGAATCTGATTACATTAAAGTATGACATTTAGCAACGCTCCTCATGTGAAGGTGAACAGTAGGTGTAATCTACTTCACAAGAAACTCAGCAGAAGTAATGAAAATTAATTTGATTACTTCTCAGTTAGTATTTAAATGTTGCTTCTTGTTCATTAACTTTGACCACAAAGGCCTCAGAACACCCACCAAATTCCATCAGGGCCTTGTATTCATAATCAGTCATATAATTATCATGCATGAACATTTCTATGACACATATAAATGGAAATTCATTAAAAATGGCTGGTTTCAGAGCGGAGTAGCAAATAATAATAAAAATAAGCTTCATGTGCTAGTTATAAGAAGGAATGCCATCTTTAGATAGACGGAATATGCTAAGCATCATATTTATTTACAGGGCAAACCCTAAATGGCCATAAATGGGACAGCTACAAAAACGAAACAGAAAATAGCCTACTACCGCCATTAGTGGTAGATTATCTTACCGGAATCCAACAATTGGACATTCTTTACAGATGTTGCATTTGGCCTGATGTTTTGCAGTCTCAGCTGCTGCCACTCGATGTAAAACTGGCAGCCAAACCATGGACTGTGGTTCCAGACGCATCCAGTCTATAAACTCTTTCACACTTATCTCTGGCTTGTTGTTATTCTGGTGAAGAAACAAATATATTAAAATGAAGAAAATGTCTTCATGTAAACTGCAGCAAGTGTTTTTGTTTCAAAATCTTCTGAAAATCTGAAGTAAAGGAAAATGATGAAACTCTTGTCAGGTAAGTTTCAAGATCTTTAAGGTTCTTCAAGGCAAGAAAATTCTAGAAACTAAAGACAGAAAGAGCAGAAATGACTATATACGAAGAAGAAGAAGAGCTCCAAAACTTATATAACTCAGATTTAAAAAAACAAACAAACAAACACAATTCTAGGTAATCTTGTCACATAAATACTGTGTTCCTATAAAACTCTTCTAAGACAGCTGTATGCATCAGTAGTAACACTTCTAAAACGCCTTTATACTCAGTAAACATTAAAAAGAAACTAAAGTGCTTTTTTCAGTTTATAGTCACTTAGATTGGATTGCTATAATATTTTGTACATAATTCTCCTTTTGTAAATATGTTCTAAAAAATATTGTTATTTTACTAACTTACTGTTGTGGATTGAATTGTGTCCCCCAAAATGTGTACTGAAATCCTGGCCCTTATACCTGTAAATATGATCCTGTTTGGAAATAGGGTTCTCTTTATTATGTTAATTAGGTCAGATCTCCTGAGGGCAGGTTTTAAATCCAATCACTTCTGAGTTACGAAAAGAGCAGAAGGGACACAGAGACGCACACAGGAAGAAGAGGAAGACAGACAACAGAGCCAGACGCATCTATAAAGATTTTTGGCAGCTACTAGAAACTGAAATAGACAAGGAAGGGCCTTCCCCTAGAGCTACGCCTTAAAGTTGGACTTTTGGCCTTAAGAAAATAAATAAATTTCTATTCTTTAAAGCCACCCACTTGTGGTATTTCTGTTACAGCAGCACTAGGTAACTAAGACTCTTACTTTTAAATTGTATTTTCTAAAAATCTTGCCAACAAAGAAATCTGGGCATTTTTATTAATTTATTTAGCAAATATTTACTGAATGGCCATGATGTGCAAGGCACTGTATATAGGGATGGATAAACACACAGAGCTCAGATTTAGGGAGAAACAAACACTAAACAATCAATCACACAATTCAATATGTAATTACAATTGTAATGAGTATCATAAGGCAGAGGTGGAGGCCATTAAGGTACACAGAAGGGTACGTAGCCTCATCTGAAGGGGTCAGGGAAGGGTTTTCTGAGGGTGTGAGATTTACACTGACATCTAAAGAATGGATAAGGACTAGCCATGGGAAGGGAGTTGGAGGGCAGAGGTTAAGGAAGAGCATTCTACATAGAGGGCACATGTTCAAAGGCACTAGGCAGGAATGAAGGAACTAAAAGAAGGAAAGAATGGCTAGAAAGTAGATAGCAAGGGGATGAGTGGCAAGAGACGAGGTCAGGGCAAAAACGGGCAAATCACAACCTCATGGCACATAGTAACAATATTATATCTGAAGAGAAATAATCGGCCTCCTAGAGACAGTCACGGTCCCTTGAATCAAACGTGCCTTAAGAAATAAAACACAAATGTATTAGGATGGTCCCCTAAGTCTTCCACCATTGGTTCTAGCCCAAGCTCCCTGTTCCATTTCTCAGCACATCCTTAAGACCCTGCTCAACACATCCTAAGCCCCAGTGATCCTTTGTGTTTACCTGTTGGAAGCAGCTGCGGACACTGGGTTCAATATTACTGCCTCCAAAAGCCGCTACTTCCCCCAGCTGCCGAGGGATCTGGATGGCATCATGAAGTAACAGGCCCAGCTGCCTCTGGTCACACATTTCTGTCGGACCCGCCACTTCCTTAAAGAGATCTACAAGGAGAGGCAAGGGGTTAACTTCCATCTGCCTATAGAGTTCTTTTATTTAAAATACATCTTTGCTTAAGTGGATTTAGCTCTATAGATCAAAAAAAATTTCAGAGGGACATGAATCAGAAGCACTTTCCCCCGAGTTCCAATGCTCAAGACTGGACAGTCTGTTAATATTCAGTGTGTCTGTGATTAGAAATCTGATTAACCACGTTTCTTAGGACAACCTACTACTGTATGTCAATACACACACACAAAAACAACAGTTGTCGTTGAGTCAATCCCAACTCATGGTGACCCCATGTGTGTCAGAGAACTGCACTCCATAGTTTTCAAGGGCTGATTTTTTTTGGAAGTAGATCACCAGATCTTTCTGCCTAGGCAGCTCTGGGTAGACTCAAACTACCAACCTTGTGGTTAGCAGTGGAGCATGTTAATCGTTTGCACCACCCAGGGATGCCCATACATATAAATAGATGAATTAATACAAACTTCCTTTTTCAGTGGTACAATAAATGCATGTGGGTTAATTTTATGATCTCAATAAGGGTTTCACTTCTTCTTGAGAAAGAGAATGTGTCAAAAACAAAGCTTCCTTCACAACCTACCAGAGGAATAAATTAACCTCAAATAGCAAACCTTAAATTTTAATAGACTCATTTATCAACTTTTCTGTTTCTTCCTAATTTCAATATTTTATTAAATATATATTTTGGCTTCTTTTAAAGATTACTATATTTTTATAAGTACAAAGAGGTATCTTACAAGGAGGTATCTTATCTTTTAGTTTTAGGAGAATCTCATGTTATGAGAAAACCCAGTTTCTCATTCCTTATTAGTTACAAAAAGTATTTTTGTTTTACTTCATGTAATGAAATACATTTGTTCAAATTTAAATGACTTATTAAAAAATCTGTAAAGTAAAAAGCGTACTTTCACATAATTCTTAAGCTTTCTTATTCATAAGAAAACACTGATCTGTTTTATAATATTCTTGATTCAATAACAATAATAACTCTTCTTTCTAGTATTTGCTTATCTTCTATTTACCACGTACAACATTTTGAAGATTAAAATGATTACCATATTTCCTGCAAAAATGTTAATGTACTTAAGTAAGTTACTCTTGAGGTATGGAGAAATTTTACATAAAAACAATCCACTTAATAATAGAAACCAATACTTTCTGGAAAGAAATTTCTTAATTCTAAAAAATTCAAAAAAATCTAAATGTTTTAAATGTGAAGTTTTCCAGGAATAGGAGAAAGTGGGGTAAATAGTTACTGGGTCACAAAACTCATTTTGAACATTAACTGATATATGAATATCAGATTAAAAGATACCATTATTTTTTTAATGGGACTAATGTTGCTGAAAAATCAACCAATGAAAAACCCAATGGATAGTAACAGTCCGATTTCATTGTGCTGGGATCACCATGAGTCAGGGGCCAACCCGCAGCAGCTAACAACAACAGCAATACTAGATCTAACACTGTCAAGAGTGAATTTTCAAACAAGTGAACCAAACTTGGTGATATTGACACAATCATGATAATGAAATACAACTTTAATTATAAGCATACATAGGGAAAGCAAATTCAATTGAGATAAATGTAATTTTTATCATCATTTGTTTTACACAGTTTTAGAGTTCTACTTGTTTCTTTGCACTTTTTAAAAATAAGACTATCACAGCCAAAATATATTTATCCTGGGTTCTTATTATGATCCCCATTTTAAACCCAGTCCCAGAAAGAGATTTATTAGGTAAATACAGAATTGAAGCATATGTTTAATAATCTTTATGGAGAGGTGCACATTTTCAGCGAGATCAGCCGTGCCCAATTTTCCTTTTTTGAGGCAGAGAGCAATATTACTATGCTATTGTTAAGACAAAACCATCAATAAAACACAAGAAAAAAAGATTCCTTAAACAGTTTGACATATTCCTAAATTCTTATGAAAGTTCACATTTTGATGTAGTTAGATACTAAAAGTCTCAGGATGTGGAGACTGGGTCAGAGATAAGTCACAATCTAAAACCCAAATTCCAATAAATCAGTGGATGAGAGAGGCAACTGGCCTTTCAAAAGGATGATGTATAAATGTCTTTTTGATGAGGCAAGGAAGCTGACCAGCTTTAGGCAGGAAAGTAAGGATACTTTTGGAACCTATTCAAGGGATCTTTTCATGAAGGCATGAAGAGCAAAGGAGAGGTTACAGCGGTCACATCAGCCATTGCAAAATCAATAGTCAGGTGGATACCAACTGACCCTGATGCTGCCTCTGCCAGTGAGTCTGAAGAGCAAATTGTCTTGAATATCAATTCTAACAAAGCAAATAACAATGAGGAAGTGTTTTAATATCACTGGGGAAATCACAATAGGAATTAGAGTTGCTAAGGACCTCAAACTAAAAAGCAAAACAAAACCCCAGAACATCTCCAGAGTTTCAATACTCCCAGTAAAGATTTAGATTAAAGATTTCAACCCAAAACAGCAATTATTTAATTGTCCTAAAATGACATGCTTAGTGGATTAAATTAAATATCAGAAATTCTCATTGCAGGGGCTTTTGCTTCTTCCACAACCTGAAAGTTTAATGTTGAATAATAGGAAGTATTATGTTTCCTGGCATTTGTAGAAAGTGTCTCCATTACGGTACACGAGCACATGTGTAGTTATGTATGCCGAAACACACCCCTCATTTGAAAGATTACTTATTTCAGATGTGTTTGAGCATATGTATGTAGATAATTTACATATTACATTTTGTAGAATTGATTTTTTGCTCTGTTGCTACACTCTGTTGTAGCTCTTTTGGCCTCAGGTTATTCCCTGCTAATTATCTTAAAAAGAAAGGGAGGAGAGAATCACTGATCTAGGAAAACAGATGAAGCATACATTTTTAGGATTCCTGACTAAAGGCTGAATTTGCATTCATTTCAGAACAAATGCAGTACTGTGATATAACTGTTTCTTTCAGAGAACCCTAATTTTATATGCTTTCAAGACCACGTGAAGACTTAAACTCACAGACCATAAAAAACACTCCTTTCCAATTTTAATACATTAATGCTCTCATTAAATTCTCCTTTCTTATTCACAGAAATAACTTTTTTAGCTTTGGAAATTAAATCTTTTGGCAACTATGTTGGTGAAGACCCTTTAACTTCTGGGTACATACAGTGCCACAAGACAAAAGCCTTGTGCAAAGCTGTTTTCTGCCTGGCTTACTCAGCTCTCACTCCATCAAGGAACCTCACCTCTTGATCTTACAACCAGCTCTTCATTTCACACATATCCTCATTCCTTTTCACTGACATTTTTGTCAAACTATATAAGAAAAACAAGCCACCAGGTTCTAGACCTGAATTCAAAATCAGATACCCACGTAGCAATTCTGGAATACATACTTTTCTTTTTAATCGGAGCCCGGGTGGTGCAATGGTTAAGCACTCAATCGAAAGGTTGGCTGTTCGAACCCACCCAATGGCTCTGCAGGAGAAAGACCCGGCAATCTGCTCCTGTAAAGATTACAGCCTAGAAAACCCTAAGGGGCAGTTTTACTCTGTCACATGGGGTCACTATGAGTCGAAATGGACTCTATGGCACCTAACAATATCATGCTCATATAGGACACAAAACTTACTAAGTTTAGAGGACAGGCAGATCACATAGCCTCTTGTTTTTTTTGTATATTCCCATTCATAAATTACCCTATATCACTCCCCACATACTTGGGCATAACTGTAAAGAGAAGTCCCTGGGTAGTGTAAATGGTTAACGCACTCGGATGCTAACCAAAAGGTTGGGGGTTCAAGTCCACCCAGAGGTGACTCAGAAGAAAGGCCTGGTGATCCACTTCCAAAAAAATCAGCCACTGCAAACTCTACTCTGCACAGTTTTACCATGACACACATGGGGCTGCCATGGGTCGGAATCAATTAACAGCAACTGGTTGGTTTTTATCTGTAAAGAATCATCTGGGAATATGCATGGCAGGATCAAATTACTCAGATTTATTGGACAAAATTAAATCAAAAGATATTTTACAGCAGTTAAGAGTTTGGGAACACAGCACCAATGGCTATCGTTTATTCAACAACTGTTGTTTCTCAGCTCTTTTCAACCTATATCTCTAATTCTTTGCAAAGCAGGAATGGTTATCTTCATTTTCCAGTTGAAGAAAATTTGCTAAATTTCACCTTCCTAAACCTCTTGACTGGTAGTATTCAATGAGGCCACACAACTTGCCCAAAGGCACTCAGCCACCAAGTGGTAGAGCTAAGACTTGAAGGCAGGTCTCCCTGGCTCCAGAGCGTGTGCCCTGTCTGGATGCCAAGATACCCTTCACTAACTGACAGTTAAAAGGACACCACTGATTTATTTGGTAGATATAAACAAACATAAGGAAACAAAAAAAAAAAAATCTATCACTTTTTATTTTGTCATGACTACAAGATATAGTTACTTGGGATTATTGTCTCACTATGCCAATGTTCATTTGTCCCTTTGTTGTACTGTGGTGGCTTGTGTGTTGCTATGATGCTGGATACTATGCCACTGGTATTTCAAATACCAGCAGGGTCACCCATGGTGGACAGATTTCAGCCAAGCTTTCAGGCTAAGACAGACTAGGAAGAAAGGCTTGGTGATCTATTTTCAAAAATCAACCAATGAAAGCCCTATGGATCACAGAATATTGCCTGAGACTTCAACTCACTTACTATGAAGAGACTGACTGCTAAGAAGGACTTCATGTTTGGTAAGGTGCAGGGCTCTCGAAGGTTAGGAAAACCCTCAATAAAATGGACTGACACAATGGCCTCCACAATGGACTCAAACATACCAACGATCATGAAGTGGTGCAGAACCAGGCAGCATTTCTTTCTGTTATACACGGGGTAGCCATGAGTCAGAGCCAACTGGACAGCTACTAGCAACAATAACGCCTATAAAGGTTCTAATCTATCTTCACATCTTTTTTTTTAGCACTTAGAAGTACACAGAAATAGAAGAAGCTTGGGCTTTGGAGTTAGAAAAAGCTAGGATCAAATTCTAGCCCCACCACTTACTGGCTGTGAAGCTTTGGACTAGAATCTTAACCTATCACACAGCATTAACTTTCTCAGCCGGAAACTGAAAACCAGGATACCTATATTATGGGGAGATTATTCTAAGAATTAAGTATAATTTGTAATACATTCTCACTCCGACAAGGCATCTCGCCTTTTAATCCCATAATAAGCTTTTCTTTCCACACAAATCCAAAGTCCTTGGCACTGATACACTGTCTGGCTTGATACGTGCATAATAAGGGTTAACAAAATGGGAACTACTGTTATCAGCAAATCATATAAAGTCAATTCCTAACAAATGATTATCATTATTATTACTAAAAATACTACTGGTATAGGATATGGTCTTACTTACATCTGTATTTTTCTTCTAAGAGACCTTTGGAAAGAGATATCAATCCAATCTTCAGACTCTGCACTCTTATTTTTCCTGTTCGGCCCCTGAAATGGTAAGTATCTCAGTGTTAGCTATATTTAAAACTGTATACAGTATATTATTTCTGAATATCTATTTTCTTAAGTCATTAAAAATAATTTCATCTTAAAGAAAAAATTCACTATTCATCTTTACCGCATCTATACATTTCATAATCAATTAATGTAAAACACAATCCTGTAATATCATGATATTTTAATCGTGTGCTTGACCTAGTAGGAAAGAATACATAGCCTGAAGTCACATTATAACTCATGAATTAAGAATGAATTAAAGCAAAATGAAAACAACAATTAGAAAGCTGAAAAGATTTCAATTTATAATTACTGGGAGTTAAAAGCTATCTGTTAATAATTATAAATGGAAGACCCAAAATAGATAGCTAGAAGTATATATAAAAACAAACGAGACTTCATAAACAGCAAGAGAGCACTAATGACTTATCAAAAAACAAATGTAAGAAAATTGATTAGAAAATTAACCGTATACTGAAGGCTTATAAACTTGCCGAATACTTAAAATTTATTGTCTTCATTTATCTTGGTCTCTGCCCATGCAGTTTTTTCATAAAGTACTATTGCAATTATAATATACAACGCTCTTAAACAGACAGGTGTGGAATTCTATTTGGGGAGGCATCCTATTATAATTGAATACAAAATGCCCTGGTGGTGCACTGGTTAAGAGCTCAGCTACTAACAAAAAGGCCGACGGTTCAAATCCACCAGCCGCTCCTTGGAAACCCTATCGGGCAGTCGTGCTCTGTCCTATAGGGTTGCTATAAGTCAGAATAGACTTAATGCCAATAGGTTTAGTTTTCAGTTTTTAGGAAATAGTTACACACATACGCTCATGAGAGATCATTTCAATTTCAACATATAAGGTGCCTAGAAGAAAATCTTTATCTTTATAAGCAGAGAGTTTTCTTTATTCCATCACTTATCAAGGAATTACTGAGTTGTCTATCAAATGTCCATCACAGCACTAGGTCCTGGGAACGGGGAAAGGGAAATGCAGAAAATATTTAAAAAAAGTTAATAAGATATAACCCTTGCTATGGAACAACCCACAGTCCAGAAAAAAGGCCTTTAGCGGCATCTTTATTAGTTCAGATTAGGGTTCATTGTTCAGTTTAGATATTTATTGTTATTTTCTTACATTTTTTCAAGAAACAAGAAAGTATGCCAAATTATACAAACATATAACGTGCCGTAATGCATGCAAGTCAAAAAACATGTAACCTCAATTCTGTTGCTGCTGCAGCTAGTTGCAGTCCAGTCGACTCCAACTTACGGCCACGGCATGTGCGTAAGAGCAGAACTGTGCTCCACGGGGTTTTCAAGGCTGTACTTTACAGAAGCAGATCACGCCTGTCTTCCAGAGGCGTCTCTGGGTGGGTTTAAACTGCCAATCTTTCAGCTAGTAATCAAGCACTTAACTGTTTATGCCATCCAGGCACTAACTTCAGTTTTAAGTAGTTTTATGGCCAAACTATATTTAAATCTTGATTTTGATATTTTTACTATTAATGCTAATTGAAATTCTTCCATTCTCAAATTACAAATACTCAAATAAGTTTCTGTATAGATACTATAACATATAAAGTGTGAAATAAATAAAAAAGGAAAATTTGCTTAGGGATTGGTAAAATATATTGTCAAAATAGTCCCTCAGTAGCCTGGAGTTTATAATCTACTGTATTTTTATGCAAATACCACACACCTTCTACAATTGTTTGCCAACTGCTCCCCCTCCCCCTGCCCCCAGGTATTTTTGTAAGCACACTATGCTAATTTTATTAGCACCCATAGGAAAATACCTGGGGGGAGGAGAGGGAGTAGTCGGTAAGCTAAGGTAGAAAGCACATGCTATTTGCATTAAAATATGGTATACTAAATCACATCTAACCAACTTATTGAACATCCTTACAATGTATGTGTACAACATTCAGAATTGACCAGTAAAATAATTTATTCCTAAATTTTAGAAGTCATTATAATAATAATTTCTAAATGGATATATACCCTAGTTTCTCACAATTACAGAAATACTAGTTTCAAATGACTCTTAAACTGAACCATGCTACAAATTGTGTTTCCATTTTATATCTTTAGGCATTTCCTAATTTTAACATGAAAATAGACAATGTCTGTTTTCTTCCCTTCAAAAATCAAATTTTTATTCTTCCAACACAATCAGAGGACCTGCAGAAGATAACAAAAGGCTGTGTTGAATGGATTGAGACTTGTACATGAATGTGGCTAAGGACAAAGCAATGTCTTAAGGGAAAATGATCAAAATGATATGCATTAGAGGATGCCCTCCAGTCTACTGTAACCACTAAAGAAAGGAACATCATCAGGAAACTACTGAACATGTCAATCATCATTCATTCCACCATCAACGTTTATGAAGGCTTACTGTGATCCTAGCATCAACCCGACTCATGATAAGCTCACAAACTAGCTGGGGAGGCAAGAGAAGAAGACAACTAGAGAATCATAAAAAATAAAACCAAAAAACAACACAAGACCAACTTTTAAGTAAATAAAGATTCTTTCGTGGAAATAAAGAAATCAAGTGCAAGACCACTGTGGCTGATTAGCCATTAGTGGATCACTGACTAGTTATTAGTCTCACAACATTTGATAGAAGAGATAAGCCTAAAATTGAAGACATGACATGGCCAGATTGCTCCAAGGAGCAATCAGAGTATCACAGAAAAGACCTGAGCAAGGGGACAGAGGCAGGTGTGTGAGTACCAGTGACCAGGCTCATTAGGGTGGGGCAAGGACTTGCAACAAAGCTAAATGGTTGATAAACTTGTACAGGTTATGTGGGATTAGGTGAAAGAGAGTTTGAATGTTAAATAACATCTCTAGATTTGAGAGACTATAGGGAGACAATAAAATTTACTAGTGAGTAAGAAGCATAATCTAATGTTTAAGTATCATATTGATTCCCTGATAGTTTACAAAAGCAACTACTGAAATTAGTTTAACTAGAAAAACATGTACCTTATAAAATTCAAATTATATGCATCTTGGAATAGAGAGAAAAAAACAAAACAAAACATGACAACACCATAGTAAAACCCAAAAAAAACCCAAACCCGTTGCCGTCAAGTTCATTCGACTCATAGCGACCCAACAGGACAGAGCAGACCTGCCCCATAGGGTTTCCAAGGAGCGCCTGGTGGATTCAACTGCCGACCTTTTGGTTAGCAGCCGTAGCTCTTAACTACTACGCCACCAGGGTTTCTGCGGACTTCTTAGAGGTCCATAAATGTCCTGGTGCTTTGGAGGGAGTAGATTAAAGTTTCTATCAGATTCTCAAAGGGCATTATGGCTTGAAAAGAGTTAATAATCTCATTTAGATAAATGAATAAGTCAAAGTTATTAGAAAAATTTCACAAAGTTAAGTTATCGACTCTGGTCATCTGAGACTACTGTCATAAGAGTAACTATATTACTTTCAGAATGCTCTTTATAAGTGAGGATGGTGAGACTTAGGCTCACTTACTTTGGACGTGTCATCAGGAAAGCCTAATCTTTAGAAATGAACTTCATGTTTGGTAAAGTACAGGGTCAACAAAAATGAGGAAAACCCCCCATGAGACAGATTGACACAAGAGCCACAAGAATGGGCTTAAACATACCAACGATCATGAAGATGGCATAGAACCGGGCAACATTTTATCTTGTTATGTATCAGGTCGCCGTAAGTCGGTGCCGAGTTTATGGCAACCAACTACAACACCACCCCTATCTGAGATTGAACGCTAGAATGAATGGGCACCACTCTGACCCAGTATGGTCTTTGCTGTATTTCTTTGACATGGGAAATGTGTCTTAAAAGATTTTTTTCCATTAAAATGGAAAATGGGAAATTTCAAGATACTGTCTTTCTAAGTAAGAAACAGTATCTTAGAGAAGCATTTCCCATGTGTTCACGTTTGATGGTGCAGAGTGGAAAAACGCCAACATTTAACCTCCTAGAACATGAATCGCAACATTTCATACACTGCTTCCTTCCCAACTAAGTGGCACTATTCCCTTCAGGCTGTGCAGGGAAAATGGCATACGAGCGTTAGAGCTGTAGATAATGCCCAGGGAGAATGATTGAACATCTTTCCTGGTTCTTCTTTAGAGACAGCTCAAAACATGCACCTCTACCATACTCCAAGGGGCTGAATGAAACTACTAAGTGTTCTATGAATTCAGCATTCTTCCTAGGACATAAGAGTAAGTGATAGCCTTTGTAGTTAAAACACCAAAATGACCAGCTATTTTGGTGAATTTACTATAGAAGATGTCTCTTTGGAAGGCTTAAAATATTGAAGAGCAACTTAATGGCAGATTAATGCTAATGTTAATATTTTGCTCTAGAAGAGTAAAAATTGGCATTAAAATGAAACTGATTAAAAGATAAACAGGAATACAGTAAATTCAATATTCATTATGGTAACAGAAACAGTCGTATTATCTGTTCTGTGAGTTTCTTAAGAGCCTCTGGCAATTTGATTACAAAAAAATATTTTGTTGTGAGATTTACAAATATGGAAAAATATTTTTCTAATAAAAATAAGTACAATTTTAGTTAAATCATCTCTAAAGCTATTTCATCATCATTTACTTCTTATACAGAGTTAACCAGCTGCTGAATGTGTGCATTTATAAACTATCATCTCTCTTCTTTTTCTCTAAATCAAATAAAAGACTGAGAGACAAAATTTTCATACGGCTAATTAATGGAAAATAACTTTTAGTGCGTGAGAAAAGCAATAGTTCTAAGTTTCTTATTTCATCTTTGCATACTTTAACCCCCTACCAGAAGACTGAATAATTCCTAATGTTTCAGAAATGTCAGCCCACAGCAGGTCTTTGTAGGATTGATTACTTCACAAATGCGTTGTCTTATTCAAAAGGGCCAAACTAATGGCAAATGAGTTATGTAAAAATTTGAGTGTGCTCTATGTAATACTGAATACCTAATTAAATTCCCAGATATTAGAGTGTCCAATAGCATAAAGTATTTAAAACACCATGAACAGTCATGTGCAACATAACATCCATTTGGGCAACGTCCGTGGTCCCATAAGGTTATAAATGAGTTCAGAAATCCAGATTGGAGAGTGGGAGATAGCAGAGGTAACATGTCTCTTGTATACAAATCAATTGCGCTGCCAGGCGTATAATGGTACAGTACATATATAACCTACAATACACGTCTTAAAAGTCATAATAAATGCCTATGTTACTGGCTTATGTATGTACTGTACTGTATTGTTATTTTAGATATGAACTTTCCCTACTTACAAATAAAAAGTTTACCATGTAACAGTGTATCCTTTGACTTGCAGGCAGCAGCATCCAATCTCATGTTCGCACAACGTCCAAATTTCACAGAATGTATCGTGGACATTAAGCAATGTGTGGTTGTATACATATACCTACCATTGCAATAAATAAAGCTAATACAAATGACAAATCTCTTTAACTGTCATTCAAAATCACTATTAAGCTGCCAAACAAAGGCTGTAGAGCAGAATATAATGAGCCAATAGATTATTTTAATTTATGACAAGAAATAAAAAATTTTGTCTTGTGGAAGAAGGAATACTGTAAGTCATTCTGGAAGAAGGCAAAGGAAACCTGGCTTAGCTTCTTGTATAACAATACTAAAAATGTGACATTCTGGTATATCATCATTTACAAATGAGAGGAATACAAACATAACTTTAATAATAGCAGCCTTTATAAACTGGAAGCAAAATCTTAAAATAAACATACACATGCTTTTTTGATCTATTGCTGGTTAAGAGCCCAATGATTTGGAAACTCGTTCATTTCCAACAATTTACATAAGTATTTCTACCGGGAAAAGTACTTTAAAAGTTTAAGTACCCAATTTTTTTTTTAAACTCACATTAAAAATGTTGGACATTTTCTCTTGTCAACACATTTCCTTCAATGGTTGCATTTTAATGGGAAACACACAAACTTACGTGTCATATACGTTCAGGAGCCAGTTGAGACACATATCCACACAGAGGGGAACATTGACCAGGTCCTTATGTATTTGTTCAAGTCCATCGTAAGTTGTTGTCAGACAGTTGATGACATCTGGAACGCTGAGGAGCTGATCATTTTGGTTTAGCTTGTGCTGTTTGAAAACTTCATTTGTTGTATTCAACTCTAAGAGATCCACTTATCAAATAAAAAAAAGGAATGCATACATTAATTACATTACACAACAACAATGAAGCAAAAACATTTCTAGTCTCAAGAATTAAGCTGGATTCTTCAGTTTAAGGATCTCTCCTTTTTAGCTAATTTCAATTTCTTTTTAGAATTAGTGCCATTTCCATTCTTACATTTCTAAAGTCCTTTTTGATCCATATTCCCATGCTTTTGACTCTGAACTCTCTCACTTTTCAGTTTTATCCCATTTTTTTGCTCTTTGGAATGCTAATTTTTCTCTTCTTTTCTGGCTTTCTCCTCTCCAGGCTCCTTCTGCTTTCAAATGTAAAAGGGCATAAATCTCCAAATCTACTCCAAAGGGTATAACATTTCAAATATTCTATTGCTCTCTTTATCTTAATTCCTGCGTAAAACCTGCTCACCACCTCACTTTCCAATTCATCCTTTATATTGTGCCAAACTAATGGTTCTTAAGCAGAATTTCTCCATGTGTATATCATGAGATATAAAGTCCTCTCAAGATGCTCAGCTTAAAAAAATGAGTTCTGTAGAAACATAACAGTTGTGTAGTGCCTACTGAACCAAGCCTGAGATATGCGGCCCTCACAATCTGGCCCTAATCTGGTTTATTTCCCATGATGCTCCAGCATATAGGCCATCTCTAGCTAAACTGAATTAGTAGAGGTGCACAGTGCAGGCCCACATCTATTGGTCTTTGTCTATTTGCCCCCATCTTACTCTTCATGTCTAGAACATCTACAGTGGGAATGGCCAGGTGCTAGAGCATCCAGGGGTCCACAGAAGAGTAAGGCAAAGCTCCATATGCAACTTTTTAATGTTAAAAAAAAAAAAAAAGTTGCGGGGAACTTTTTATTTTTAATATAACCAGCTACTTTTTTTGTTGCCTAATGCAAAATCGTTTTCTCAAAAAATATGACATATTTTGACAGTTAAATAAAATGAACAAATAGCTTCTTTGTATTTAACTTTAACCAATGAATAACCACTAATTTTGACTTTTTTTGAAATGTTCATGAAACATGTCCACGCTGGCAGTCTTAACACCAAAGAATTTTTTTTGAAATTATCTGCAGTGAAAAAGAACTGCTTTAAAGTTATACAGGTTAAAATGATTTAAAAAAAAATACTCAACAGAGAAGACATTTTTAAAAGAAAGACAGAGAGAGAAAGAAACATATAACACGCACAAGTGTAGATACAAGTCGAATCTATTTCCTTGAGATGTCAAATATATCATTGGTAAAACTTAGGCTCATAACAAAAATAACTCACATAAGCTTCACATGAATCAGAGATGGTGTCAGAAAAAAAATCTAAGAACCACCTGGAATTTTCACTGTTATTTTCACCATGGAATGCTTAAGTGGTACACATGATTAACGTGCTTGGCGACTAACTGAAAAGTTGGAGGTTCAACTCCACCTACAGGTGCTGCAAAAGAAAGGCCTTGCTATCTACTTCTGAAAAATCAGCCATTGAAAACTGTATGGAGCACAGTTCTACTGTGACACACATGGAGTCACCATGAGTTGGAGTTGACTCTATGGCAGCTAGTTATTGTCACCCCACTTCTTGGAACTTTATACTGTTTTCATTTTAAGCTTCTAGAATGCAGGGGCACTATCAAATTCATTCTTCACAGGGTCTGACAAAAGGAAATGCTTAATAAATGATAGTGGCTGCACATCTACAAATCCCCAGATACAAAGAAACCACCGTCCGAACACTCCCAAAATGCTCTAAGTTTTCTGAATTCCAATACTAATTATGCCAAGAACAAAGCATTGCTTTTGCATCCCTACATGGCATAAAGCAACAACAGAAGAAATTCCAAAACGACCATTTCCTGGGTCAGGCTCTCCTTGTATTTCTTCCAGAAAAGTCTCCTGTGTTAAATACTCAGAGGCTGTGACAGGGATTTGCCGCATCCCACGGACTGTCATGGCTTCAATTTTTAGTGATTTACTTTGACACTTTGTCAAAGTGCCTAAGCCAGGCATACATCTTTCTGAAGTGTGTCACGTTTAGGCACCTTTAAAGAACTGACTACAGTTAAATCACAGAAAATTATGATTTTCTCTTTTCAAAGGGAGACAAATGACAGCTCAGTCGTGTGGTAAATGAAACAAACAGCAGAATCATTTTCTAACCAACTTCCTGGCTTTTCTTTAATCCCACATATACAGCAGAAGAAATCAAATGGAAATTCATCATCACTGTCCTTTTCTGCAAAGGTGAACACCATTTAGTACCCGGCCTTGGACCTCTGTGACTCCTCTCCGGTTCTCCATCTCTTTGATCTATCTCCTCTTCCCCAAGTAGTGCAGAAACATAGGTGGTGCTCAGGGTTTCACATCTGGTCTTCCACTCACAAGCCCTTACTCACCTTCATGACTTCAACTATTACTTCTCTCTGGATAACTCCAGATTCTGTTTCATCCTGATCTCCAATCTGAGTGTCTGATCCACATGCCCATTTCCTAGTTCCCAACTAGAGCTACATCATTCTTTTTCAGGAACCTCCACCTTAATATGTTCCAAATAAAGGCCTTGCCTTCTTTGTATGCTGAGATATGGTAATGACATTACAATCTTCTATAGACCATGAGTCTGTAACTCCTGAGATTTCCTAACTCCTTTCCTTCTTTTCACTTCCATAATTTACCAACCACCAAATCCCACCAGCCATCATTCTCCTCCAGAAAGTCCTACACATCCATAACTCACTTACTTTCCTACCACCACAGCCCAGCCTTGGTTACTTTCTACCTGTTCCCTCTGGCCTTCAATCTGACTTCAATATTATGTAAAGCATACATCTGTCCCTATCTCCAAACTTTCATGAAACAGAAAATGGTTCTGTAGCTCCCCCCACAAATTCCAAACATTAAATATAACACTATGAGAGCTTGAGGAACAAAGACCTGGGGAATCAGAAATTTATGAAAAAAAAAATGACCTTCGAACTACACCTAAACTGACTTTAAGGCAGTTCCTAGATACTGGACAAATAGCTCAAAAATTGCTCCATTCAGACTCCATTACTTGATGTTAACTGAACTCTGCGCGTTCCTGATTAATAGGGGCAAGAAAGGAAGGAGTTAAATCCTGTGTGTCTGTTTTGGCTGTGAATGCCTGGCTAATTTGCCTCCTCCTCAAGGAAGCTTGCCTTGTTCTTTGGGATAAAGAGAATCTCCCTCCCCCTGAAACTATTTCCTTCTTGCTTCTCTTTTATTACCTATCACACAGCATCTTTAAATTACAATACAAAAGAATATGCATAATACATATGTGTAATTCAAAGAAAAATAATAGAACAAACACCTATTAATCCATCACACAGCTAAAGAAATAGAATGTTGACAATACCCTTAAAGTCACTTGGAAAACCTCCTTAATTACATCCCTTCCAGAGAGGTAACCACTAACCTTTGTATTTAACTTATGTTAAAAACATCTGTGTATATATATATATATATATATATAAATATATCCCTAAATAATATGCTTCTTAGAAGCAAAGATTGTGAGACTATGTCTCACATACTTTGGACATGTTATCAGGAGGGATCAGTCCCTGGAGAAGGACATCAGGCTTGGTAAAGTGGAGGGTCAGTGAAAAAGAGGAAGACCTTCAACGAGATAGACTGACACAGTGGCTGCAACAGTGGGCTCAAACAACGACGATTGTGAGGATGATGCAGGACCAGGCAGTGTTTGGTTCTGTTGTACATAGGGTCACTATGAAGTCAGAATCAACTCAATGGCACCTAGCAACAACAACAAATAATATAACATTTAATTCTGCATGCTTTTGAACTATAAATTAGTTAAATCAAACTATACATGTGACATTTAAACTGAGACCTAAAGGATGAGAAAGTATCAGCTGCGGGAAGAGTATCAGCAGTGAAAGCTAGGACAAGAGCTCTCTAGGCAGAAGGAAGAGAATACAGAGCTTGTCATTTCAACCTTCAGCCAGAACTGACTAGAGCCTCCTTGGAGTGCTGTGAACGTGATAGAATGTGGCTAACGGATGGAGAGATTGGCAGAGGTGAAGGCCATTCCATTCTGAGAGAAAGAGGAATCTGTCATAAGGTGATTTATTTGTGTTCTTTCTCTCTCTGAATTTAGGATTTTTAGTGTGGGAAACAAGTTCCTTTACATTGTTTTATCTCCTGCACAATCTTGGAGAACCACATATAAATGAACAGTGGCAGAACGGTGACATCAAAGCATTATGCTGGGTGGAGATTTACACAAACGACCAACAACCTCTGCCCTAAATCAGTCCTCAGTGGAAACCGCAATCCTCCTAACTTTCCACTATCACACAAAGGCAAGCACATGTCGCTTATGTGAGAAAGTCGTTACGGGCAACCATAAAGCTCTGGAAAAAACTGAAGGCAGGTGGGATTACCTTGTGAACATTTCCAAAAGGGGTAAATTTTTAACAGTATTTGCAAGGAATAAAGGGATAAGACAATTGCCGAGGAAGGGTCAGGGCATTTCAGGTAAACACAAAGGACGCGAAAGGAAGGAGTAGCTTAACCATCAACAGATGCACTCAGCAAGTGGCACAAAGGCTCTGGAGAGCAGTGGGGGCAGAAGACAGCTGGAAAAGGAGACGCCAGGTGTTTCCAAGGCTTACAACCAGACACAATCCAGCACTCTGTAACTGTGTGTTACTGAATTCCATCTACTTCAGAGGTTGGAGGGGTTTCTCTTGTGTTCCTCTCAGGTTTGAAGAGATGAACTGAAGGAGTAAACTCCTCACTCCCACCCTCTTAGGGGTTCCAAGAACCAGTAGAAGAAAACAACAAATGTATTCGTATGTTTATCCATCCAGAAGTATTACTGAAAACTGGGACCATGTTGATATGAGGCAAAGCAGGCTTCTGTCCATGGAGAGTTTGTGGCTGGGTTATTTGACCTCATCTTATAGCTTATCAGGCCTGAGAGGGCCTTCCCAGGCCTGTCAGCTGGATACTGGACATGCAGCCAAGCCTGTGTCAAAAGTGCTGTCACCCTGGACTCCATGAGAAGACTCAATACCCCTATTGTGCATCTGTAATTCATTTCCTAGTCTCGTCTGGCTTAACATACACATGACTAGCCGGAGTGTGTTGGCTTTCATTTTTTGTACTAGTAACTCTGCAAGCACTTGCTACTTCTCCTACAATTTGTTAAATACCTTTGGGGTTCTGCTGAGTGTGCAGGTGTCGGGGTCAGCTCCTCCTTTCTTCCATCACCTCATCTGGAGATGTTTTTTCAGTCCTTTATACTTCTCTTCCACATCGAGTTTAAGTTCTTCTTGTTTTAAAACTTTTCACTGCTATGTTTTCTCTGATTCTATACTTCTCTTTCCTCAACTGTCTTCACGTAGCCAGCTTAGAATTTACTGAAATTTCTACTGATGCCTAAGGAGCAGATTTTTCCACCCTCACATTTTTCTAAGGGTAATTTTCAGAGCTTCACTGAACTGCCTAGACATATAACAACTGTTAAGAAAAGGTAGCAAGCAAGAATGCATATTGCAATTATTCAAATTACCCTTGTTTTAAAAGCGTAGGCAAAAGTCACTTTCTGTACTATCTGACAAGGCCTGAATGTTCTTTGCGTAGACTCAATCATTAAAAGTACAAACACAAGTAGAATCCAGAGAGCTTAAATCTATGTTCTGTTACAAGCATTCATGTTTCCACTTAATTTTTGGTTATTTTAGCCGGAAAAGCCAACCTTTTGGTAAAACGACTATCATAGAATATCACTCTGAACACGCTCTCTGTGGGAAGCATTCACGTTTCTACTTACTTTTTGTTATTTTAGGGGGAAAAGCCCACCTTTTGGTAAAACGACTACCATAGAATATCACTCTGAACACGCTCTCTGCAGGAAAAGTTCATATTGATAATATTAACTGCCTCAAGAGATATTTAATGAAACACAGGGCCCTTTACCTAATTTTCTAATGTGACAGTTCAAAGTAGCATCAACAATGTGATTTCTAGTGGTTCTTTATTATATGATCGTATTGAGTCAAACTGTTTGGAATCCTACACTTCAAAATGGATACAAAGTACTACAAAGGCAATGACCAACTACTTTGATTCTTTGATTTGATCCTCCTAAATTGGGCGGTGGCATAATTTTTGAAAAGCTTTTTATATTACTCCTGCATTTTGGTTAATTTTGTTCTACACCTGAGAATGGGTGTATGGTCATGTTTTACTCCTGCATGCTAATGCAGCAAAACTAAAGCATTTATAGAAACATGGCCAACTCCTTGAGTAAGATACGATGAAATCAGATTAACTCTACAAATACATCACCATCTTCTTGTATCTTTCTCCTTTTTTTTTTTTTTTTTTTTTTAAAGGCAATCCAAAGAGCAGAAAGAGTAACTTTGGTAGAATAACTTACAACATAGTGCTTTTTGCAGTCTTCGGATTTTGATGGCTGTACGGTATGCAGAGAAACGTACATTATTCAGGTCAGCTGAAATGGAAAAGGGAACAATTCAAAAGCATGTTTATCATTTCACTTACACTGAATGCCAAGAACGTATCTGCATACTTCAGATAATGGAAAAATACTATGTCTGCCAGCATTAAAAACTCTTCCCCTAAATTCCACAGCATTTAAGAAAATAATTAAATGATCATTGGCACCATGTTGAGGTATATTTTAAAGGACTGCTATACGGAAATTTTCAAGAAAGTATTTTCAAATAGGAAAAGGAGAGAGATGAGGGAAAGAAAGCATAGCTATTGACTTTTGGTTGCTTAGTGAATACATCACACTGTAGGCTAACAGTCCTTCCTTTTCTGCTACTAAGCTGGATTCTCCTCCAGGGGTATTTTCCCCAGGGACAACTAGTTTTCTGTCAACTGGGCTGTAGGTCTCACTACTCATGAAGCTAGTCTTAGGTCTGTTTCTTCTGTCCCGATCTATTTGCTTCTTTTGCCCTTAATAGACCTGGATAACATTGTCCTATAATGAATATTCACATCCTTGGAAACAATGGATATTACAATTTCGTTCTCTGTCCCCTAACAGCAGAGTATCAGAGACTAGCAGAGTTGGAAGAAAATGCAAAAATCATCAAAATTTGCTCTCTCATTTTATAAACTATGCAAACCATTGTGGCCTTTCTGTTGCTTGTTTAAACTCTGCAGCCCCCCTCACCCACCCAAAGAAAGCTCAACATTTAAAGAGAGAAAAGTGGTGCCCCTCTCGTTGGAGCAAGAGTGGGGAGACCATGGTGCTGCTCTCCCTCTCCCCTGAACTACCCAAAAAGGAAACTCTTTAAGAGCCACCAGAACAGATCAGTTCAGGGTCATGATCTATCAGAAATTAAAACAAGATCAGAATTCTTATCCCAGGTATTTTCCTGCATTTTTATATTGAAATGAATTAAGCTTTTTAATGACTAGGACAAAACAAAAACTAATTTGATAAGATTTAATAAATAAAAAGTGAACTTAAAGCAGTGGGTGGGAGGTTGCTGTGTTGTAATTGTTCTTATTATTATCATTTTTTTTGCATGTAAGCTGAAGTTTAAGAAGACAATGTACGGGTGGCAAGACCTATAATTACATTCCTCCTTTTATATCAATTCTCTTTGGCTCGCACTATTTCAAATCACACTTTTTCTTAGAAGTTAAACTGCCTTTAAATGTCACTGACATGCTCTTAAACATAACATGCAACGGAAGAAAAGCTGGTGAGCTGTTTCCATTGAAGAATACAGTTTCTCCTCTGTATTCTCAGGTTCCCCATCCGCAGATTTAACCAGCCAGGAATGGAAAGTCCGAGGGGGGAGTGTGGAGGGGGAGAACATGTACAGACTTTTTTTCTTGTCATTATTCCCTAAACAATACAGTATAACAACTGTTTACACAGCATTTACTTTGCATTTACATTATATTAGGTAATATAAGTAACCTAGAGAGGATTTAAAGTATACTGGAGGATATGCGTAGGCTTTATGCAAATACTTCACCATTTTATATAAGTAACTTGAACACCCATGGACTTTGGTATCTGTGGGGAGTCCTGGAACCAATCCCCCACAGATACAAAGGGACAACTGTATACAGTTGTTTAGGTTAATTCATAACTATTAAAAAAAAAAAATACTCACCAAGGGACTGAAAGAGTTCAGTCATTTTTGGATGATCCCAACAGGTTGTTTGTGTTTGATGGCTGGAAAAAAAATAAGTAAAATATAAAAAATAAACAGAAAAATATCCAAATAGAACTTTTTTTTCATCTTTTCAAGAGCACATGCAAAATTATGCCCACCATGGATCACTCAGAAACCTGATGCCCAATTATAGCTTAGTACCTGGAATATTAATAATAAATTTTATCTGAGCAATTATATTGTGAAAATAGGGATGGAAAAATACACTTTACCTATTTCAAAAAGAATTGCAAGTAAAAAATAAAACCTAGATATAAAGTATAACTGTCATGGCCTCGTGGTGCAGTGGCTAAGCGCTCGCTGCTAACCAAAAGTTCTGTAGTTTGAATTCACCAGCTGCTTCACAGGAGAAAGAGGTAGCAGTCTGCTTCCATAAAGATTACAGCCTTGGAAACCCTATGGGGCAGTTCTGCTCTGTCCTACAGGGTCAATCAACAGCAACAGGTTTGGTTTTTGGGTCATGGCCTCGGGGGCCCTAGGCTTGATGTGGCCAGATCAAGGCAGGCTTCAGGATAATTCCACTCTGTTAGGCAGATGTAGATTCTCGTTCAGAACAAATCTTCTGACAGTGGAAGTGCCAGCAAGAGTTGCTAAACTTTAGATGTCCTAATGAAATTTCCAAAGAACAGGGAAAGGAAGAGTTTCACTCTAGATAACATCTTTGCCTCACAATCTACTGAGCCTCCCTCCTCTTCAACCTGAGTCTTTTCTTCACTTCACCAGTGTAAATTTGCCCCTTTCTCCTTCGTGTCTGTCTAGATTCCCCCCATTTAGGTATGTCTCTCTCCCTTGGTTTGAACCTACCAGCTGCTCGGCAGGAGAAAGATGTGGTAGTTTGCTTCCATAAAGAGTACAGGCTTGGACACCCTATGGGGCAGTTCTACTCTATCCTATATGGTCACTATGAGTCAGAATCAACTCGACGGCAGTGGTTTGTTTGTTTTTTTTCTTTCTTTCTCTCGTTATCTTCTTGGTTTCCCTCTGTTAGCCAGTATTATTTTTTTTTAATATGTATTGAAGTGTTTTTCTCATGATCCTTATTCTTCACATAAAAAGCAAGTTTCATATTTTTTTAGTTTTTCTCTAAATTTCAGAGTAATTCATGTATTAGAAGTCTTTTGGGAATGAGAGGAGGGTAAAACAGATAAATGCAGTGCTTAAATTAAGTTCTTTATTGTTTGTGTGTGTGTGTGTGTCTGTGTGTGTGTGTAAGGTGAACAGCTCATAATTTCGATGGGTCAGTGCCCTTACATTCAAAAAGAGTTTACTGTCCCTTATCTAGGTCAGAATAGAGTAATAACATTTAATAGTACTCAAAAGATTTCTTGGATAACACTCAGTTCTTCCAAAACTGTTCAGTAAGCTAAGTGAAATGGTACCCAAGAGGGAATGATATTAAAATATTCATAAAATCAAATTCAAGAGAAATTATCTTTTTGAAAAAACCTGTGTAATATATCAAAAAGTGGAGCATGTCACTAGGAATTGAACACAATTGCTGTTATATATACATAAGTAACAGAATCCCCAAATAACTTGTAATTTGCTTTGAAAATATTTAAATTTCGTATTTGAATGGGGTATGTAAAAATGTTCTGGAAATTCCAAAATCTGAAACAAAATAACAGAACTAGAACATGAAGATCTGAATTGGCTGACTGGGGAGGAGCTGAAAAGTTACCTGGCTCTTCTCCCTGGTTCCTTACCAGTGATGAGGCAAGCATTTCCGCTTGACAGTCTAATACTGAATTCCAACAAAGCCATCCCGCGCTTTGCTTCCAAGACCACACAGAAAGTACTGATGTTATTTCACCTGAAATTCTTGCTACTCATAGTGTGGTCCAGAACTGAGTAGAAATGCAGAATCTTGGGCCCCTTCCCAGGTTTACTGGATCAGAATCTTCACCTTAACAAAACCTCCAGTTGATTCATAGGCACATTAAAGCTTGAGAAGTACTAACTAATACATGAATAGGTCCCTGGGTGGTTTGCACTGAACTACTAACCTACAGGTAGCCACCCGGTAGTGCCTTGGAAGAAAGGCTTGGCAATCTGCTTCCATAAAGATTACAGCCAAGAAAACCCTATGGAACAGTTCTACTCTGTCACACATGGGATTGTCATGGGTCGGAATCGACTCCATGGCAGCTGGTTTGGTTTTTTTTTTTATTTTAAATATGAGAATAGAAGTTTCTGGGTAGCACAAACGGGCAAGCACTCAGCTACTAACCAAATGGTTGGCTGTTCAAACACACCCAGAGGCATCTCAGAAGAACAGGCCTGGCGGTCTGCTTCCAAAATGTCACAGCCATGAAAACCCCAAGGAGCGCAGGTCTACACTGCACACATGGGGTCACCATGAGTCAGAATTGACTTGAGGGCAACTGGTTTGGCCTTTCTTTTTTTTTTTTAAATATATGACTAAAAGTTAAAAAAAAGGACACCTCCAAATTTTGCTAATAAAATAATTTCCTCCATACCATCACTAAGAATTAAAGAAGAATTTACTGAAAGTATAGTGTATCTGAAATAAATCTGGTGCTCTAAAGTCTTAGACAGCCTACCAAGATTCAACTGATCGCATCTCCTCTCCAAGGTAATTTTAATCCCCATGACAACACAGGGACAGACATCCCATCCTTAATGACCAAACCAAAGCTTAAGAATCATACTACAGCTATCAGTAACTCAGAGCCAGTCTTATGGCTCATAAACAAATTAAGTTCTCTTTCTCTAGGATCACAGGTGTTGTGCTTTAACCTCAAACAACCCCTACGGAACCATGAGGGGACAATACCACAATCCAGGCAGACGGAGACTGAGAATTCAGAAAGTGAACACGCCTCCGTTAATGGCTCTTTTTAGTGCAACCACCACTAGGAGCTGAGGGAACACACACATTTGGCAAACAGATGGAGGGAGGGAAACGGCATCTCCCTTTGTGAATGCAATATGAGTTGATTCATTAGGCAGAACTGCCAATGCTGAAAATAAACACAGCCTCTGGTTACAAAAGTACAACTGCAGCTTACCAAACAACAGCTAAAAAAAAAAGTAGTAGACGCAGTTGGCTGTTGCTGGATTTTCTTTCTTTCTTTCAAGGGGAAGAAGCGGGTTGTTAAAGCAAAATCCACAATCAACCTAAAGGCTCAAGTATTTGAACAGCTGCAGATTACTCAGCTCCTCTAACCAAAATGCATCCAGCTACTCGGCGCAGGCAACCGAAACAGAATAAAAGTAGCTTTTTTTTTTTTTTTTTTTTCCCAGAACAGCAACAGCTTACGTTCAGGACAACCTCAAATATGAAAGAGGAGTGGCACTTAAGATTCTGCAGCTTGATAAACTATAAAATAAAATTGTCATTTTGTAAATAAAAATCCTCTTTTTAAAAGGCATTATGGAAACCCTGGTGATGTAGTGGTTAAGACCTATGGCTGCTAACCAAAATGTCGGCTGTTTGAATCCCCAGGTGCTCCCTGGAAACCCTATGGGGCAGTTCTACTCTGTCCTAGAGGGTTGCTATGAGTCGGAATTGACTCGACGGCAATGGGTTTGGTTTGCGTTTTTTGGATCCAAGACACAGGAATCGGTCCAAGAATAAAATGAAAAATTAAAACTCTAACACAGCAGCAATTAACGGTAAGCCCAAAACCACATGAAAAAAATAATACTGAGACCATGTAACACCTAACTTGGCTGCCCAGCCATCCCAGGTTTACCTGTGCAGTGAAAAACTGTGAAAGCCTTCGATGTGAGCAAAAATTAGTGGGTGTCCTATAAAGCCTACATCATCTTCGAGTTATTTTAAACTTTGTAAATTGAAAAACCTGAGAGTATTGCAAATGATTTTTATCCACAAAAATGCAAATTGTTTCCACTGGAATGCAACTGTTTACTATCCTGTGGATGTGGACCAGTTTGTCAGTTTCTTATCTGCCAATTCATTTTATCATCCCTTTGTATTCTCCTTGACCGTGCTGTAACTTCTTACTGGTTCTCTTACTAATTAATGAGTCAGGGTTATGTTTATATTTGAAAATTCTCCTGTAACACCTGGACAGACCTGGTTTACATCTGCTATCCTGGTATTATTATTGAAAGTGTCCCTTTATGCTTAAGTGTTCCAGTAGAGATGGTACATGGCCCCTACATTTTACGTTCATTAATGAAACATTAAACTAATAAGATTAATAAGTAGTATACGCCTCTCAAAAATACCAATGATCGTGAAGATGGCGCAGGACTGGCAACGTTTTGTTATACTTAAGGTCGCCATGCGTTGGCGCATACTCGAAGACAACTAAAAACAACATATGCCTCTACCTATTATTATTCATAAAATGTACTTCGATAAGCCGCAGAAGGTAAAATGCAAATAATATAAAATGGTACGTGAAAAATTAAAGGCAAAAATGTGCCACAACACTAATATGAGACACAATGAAAAAACAGCAAAGTACATGTAAGTTTGATAGATTGATAAGATACTGATTTCTGGGCAAACGACCGCTTTAGGGATGATAACTTGTTTCATCCATTAGTCTTCATGAGAAGTCTCTTTATTTCCAAGAAACCTTAGAAAATGATCAGAAGGCATTCTAGTTGTCCAAAAACTGGCCTTAACCAAATACACTTACTCATGACTTATCTACTCAAGTTCACGCTTGAAACTAGATTTTGTGAGTTTTACTACTTTTATTCCATTCCAGTTGTATTTTTAAAGGCATAGAAAAGAAAAAACAATAAAGGTGAGTAAATTAATAAAAAATACAAACGTGGGAAAACTATGTATATTTGCTCTGGGGTAAGATATTCACAGAAAGAGAAATATTTCTTCTTTGCTGTGCAAAGTTAAAGATGACATACTAGGTCAGGATTAATTACAGTAATCGCCTAATATTTGAGTGCTTAATTCGTACTAGGCATTCTTCTAAACTCTTTCTAAGTATAAACTCAATCGGCATAACAGCTCTGTGAGTTAGGTGCTAATATTCTCCCC